CATTGTGGTCAACATCATGTTTCAAGGCAATTTTCAGGCCACCAAAAAAAAAAAAAAAAAAAAAAGATATAGACAAAATGTAAATAAAAGATTAAAATGATTCAACACTAAACACTATCACTTGATAAGACACCAGAAGTGCTGAAGCAAAATGGCTATTTTTGTAGTGATTTTATAACAATGTTATAATTCTTGAATAAATTTTATATATAAATTATTTATGTTTATTTATATATATATATTATTTATTCAAAAATTATAAATGATTTATTTTATATATATATATATATATATATTATTTATTCAAAAACCGGATAACAAATGTTTATTTATATATATATATATATATATATATATATTATTTATTTTTAAAATTATAACAAATATTTATATATATATATATATATATTATTTATTCAAAAATTATAACAAATGTTTATTTTTATATATATATATATATATATATATATATATATATATATTTATTTATTCAAAAAAATTATAACAAATGTTTATTTATATATATATATATATATATATATATTATTTATTCAAAATTATAACAAATGTCTATATATATAAATTATTTATTCAAAAATTATAACATAAATATGTTATAAAATCACTACAAAAATAGCCATTTTGTTTCATCACTTCTGGTGTCTTATCAAGTGAGGGTGTTGAATGTAGAATAAAGGGTTTTAAAAGGTGCAAATCAATCAAACATCCCTCGCTAGGGGAAACGTTGTTACATAAGCTGGAATGACCAATCAAAATATAAGTATATGAGAATTCAAAAAACTTGACAACGGACTAAGGTTATAATAATTATTTATGCTTTAATATTAGGGTTAGACTAAAATAGAATTTATTCTAACTAATAAATATTAAATTATATGATAAAATTTGAAATTAAAAATTACCCATTTTAAAATTTAAATTTAATCTGTATTAAGTTTCAAATTATAAAATTACTGAGGAAAAAAAAAAAAATACATGTTATTCTATTTATTTTGTCTTTATTGAAATTAAGTTGGAATAAACGTTTAGATCAAATGTTGCTTTGAACTTCATGACAACATAGATATATTTGAATCATAAACAGAGGCAGGGGAGGATATATATATATATATATATATATATATATATAAAATGCAAATGAAATGTCACTTAGTTGATTGAGGTTATATTCAGATGGGTATATATTGGTATAATCATATTAAAGTGATCATGAATCAGTGTCATAAGGCAGATAGTCCTAAGTAACAGGGTATTAGTAACAGGGTACTAGTATCAAGGAAAACCAATGAGCTTTTTGAATACATTTGTTTGAAAGGTGCTTTCCTTGAGGTAAAAAAGTGATTGTCTGAATACTTAGTTTCTTATCTTCAGAAGAAAAAAAACGGTTGGGGGGAGTGCTTACAGCATTGGTACAAGAATTCCTGCAGAAACGGCAGTTCCTGATGCCCAGCAGACCATCAGAAAGTAAAAAGGAAGAACAGAACAGAGCGAGGCGTAGCCAAACTGGAGAGGAGTCTCTCGAGAAAATAAATGTTTTACTGCGTCTTCCCCTGTCCAAAATAAGAGCGTGGCAACTGCAAAACAAAAAGAAAACATTTTAGAAAGGAAAAAGAAAAACAAAATATTTCTGGCTTTTGTAATTTCATTTCTAAGGCATTACAACATAAAACAAAAACAACCCATTGGAAAAGTTCAAGTTTCATTGAAAACAAGATTTATAAATGGGAAGGTTGTTTCAAAAGTAATGCCTCCTATGATGTTGGCTCATGATATCAGAAGTGGATTTCAATGTTATGGCAGTGGGGGCACTTTGTTACAGATAGGAGTCTTGCGATAGCCTTCATAACAGATTACTGGCAGTCCTGCTCAGATAAACAAGCCACTTAATGAAGAACTCCTTGGAAATGTATAGCCAATGGAAGCAACTGTGTGGAAAGAAAAAAGAAAAAGGAAAGAAAAAAGAAAAAGGAAAAAAAAGGAAAGAAAAAGAAAAAAAAAAAGAAAAAGAAAAAAAAAGAAAGGAAAGAAAAAAGAAAAAAAAGAAAAAGAAAAGAAAAAGAAAAAAGAAAAAGAAAAAGAAAAAAAAGAAAAAGAAAAGAAAAAAGAAAAGAAAAAGAAAAAGGAAAGAAAAAGAAAAGAAAAAAGAAAAAAAGAAAAGGAAAGAAAAAAAAAGAAAAAAAAAAGAAAAAAAAAAAAAAGAAAAAAGAAAAAAAAAAAAAAAGGAAAGAAAAAAAGGAAAGAAAAGAAAAAAAGAAAAGAAAAAAGAAAAAGAAAAAAGAAAAAGAAGAAAAGAAAAGAAAAAAAGAAAAGAGAAAAGAAAAGAGAAAAGAAAAGAGAAAAGAAAAGAGAAAAAGAAAAAAGAAAAAAGAAAAGAAAAAGAAAAAGAAGAGAAAAGAGAAAAAAAAGAAAAAAAGAAAAGAAAAAAGAAAAGAAAAAAGAAAAGAGAAAAAGAAAAGAAAAAAGAAAAGAGAAAAAAAGAAAGAGAAAAAGAAAAGAAAAGAGAAAAAAGAAAAGAGAAAAAGAGAAAAAAGAAAAGAAAAAAAAAGAGAAAAAGAAAAGAGAAAAAAGAAAAGAGAAAAAAAAAAAAAAAAAAAAAAGAGAAAAAGAAAAGAAAAAAAAAAAAAAAAAAAGAAAAGAAAAAAGAAAAAGAAAAAAAAAAGAAAAAGAAAAAAGAAAAAAAAAAAAAAAAAAAAGAAAAAAGAAAAAAAGAAAAAAAAATGCTTTGTAGCTGAAAACTTGCTCCACTGAACAATGTTATTGTGCTCTTTTGTATCTGTAGAAATAAATATGAGGCCAAATTACTTTCGGAGCATGCCACATGTGTGTGTGTGTGTGTATAACTTTTCACACAGTGCTAATACTTTACTTTGACCCCAGTCATAGTGCACAAGTACTACACAGATTCTAGGCATCAAAAAGTTACTATCTCAGAAATTCATCTGGTCTTTTCCACTGTGTGTGTGTGTGTGTGTATACATTCTAGCATCTATCAGTCTCCCTGTGTGAATGTGCAGAAATGATGAAGGTGCTACAGGCCTGAGCATGTCAAGACAACTCCTTTAAGCATTGCTAGTAGAATCCAAAGAAAGAGATAAGCTAATAGAGAATGATATTAACACAGCTGCAGAGGAGTTATTGGAAGATGACAGTCCATTATCCAAACTCCAATTTCAGCCAAATCAAACATCATCTAGCAAAATAGATATCAAATTTGTTATCAATTACAAAAATGTATTTTTTTTAACCTCAAAACCAGCAGAATGGATTCATTTAAAATTTCATCTTCAAGGACCATGGAAAGCATTAGAGGTCAAATTAATCTGTGTCCCTTAAACTCTACATTATGGTCAAGCAATTACATTCTTGAGTTGGTGGGGGGATTGGTGTATAGAGTCAACTGGGATAGAAATTGATGACAGGAGAGGTACTGTAGACATTTGAGATCAATTTTTAAAAATTAAATAAAATATTGTAAACTTGAAAAACATTTGCAGACAAAAATTTACAGAATTGATTTCTGTCTGGTTTTCTGGGATGAGGAATTCTTATTTACATTAGAACTAATGGCTTCATCTTTGTTATTATGCCAAGATCCGGTTGTTGCGTTCCTTGGATTTCTTCAGATTCCTGAAGATCAAGGTGACCGTCAGGAAATTTCAAACTCAACACTATTTAATTCACAGGGGTAAACTGTTCTCATTCTGCTGTCCATGTCCAGGGATTTTAAGTACTGCTCAGTTATTGCTCACCATTATTGGAAATGGTTCCAAGTCCATGTCCACACTGTCTGACCCAGGGATTGAACTCACAATTGCTAGTTCACCAAATTCATAAACCCAATGCTTTAATCCTCTAAGCTATTGACCTATGGAGAAACTTGAAGCTAGAATTTGGAGAATTAAATGTAATGTTATTGACATCACTTCAAACTGAAGAAGGTCAGAGGGCACAACAGCCAAAACATTGTAATAACAACAACAAAAATTAAGACATTTGATTGGCTGTAAATAATGGTATTAATTTTTATTTATTTTTTTGCAGTTTCACAAGTATTTGGGCCTTCTTTAAAGCTGAAACCTTATTGATTGTAAGAATTAATTCTTATTTTCATGGATTATCAACCTGTTGCAGGTTATTCAAAGCTGAAATGTTATTGTAACAGTTTAATCAATTTATTTTCATGGATTACCAACCCTATATGGGTTATTTAAAGCTGAAATATTGAATGTAAGATATTTTTTTTTTACTAGTGAATACTGTATTACCAATTGTTTCCAGATACAAGTCATGCTATTTAACCCATAGCTGGGGAGAGGGGATGGATTCATACTGTTCCCGCAGGCTATTTGCATATAACTGAATGTAACAAACCTGACTGGAATTCAAACTCAGCTCAGATTTCTCATCTGGAGCTATAATGTAAATAATGGTAAGTCCTCAACTCAGAAATTCAGGCAGAAATAATGTTCAAGTATGGAAACAGATCAATACCTTCATTATATGTGTCATTTGTTTCAAATGTTGTGTTGGAAGACATCCATGTTGGACCCCATGGACAACTGTAACGGGTTACCGATTCCTCAACATGAATATCGGTGCGACTATCATTTTTACATCCGTATCTAGAACAATCAATAGAAGAAAAATATTTCAGGAAAAAGAGAATCAAGAAAATCCTTTTGATTTCTTTTTGTTTTCATACAACAGGATTTTGAAAATTGACTGAAAATTCCACATCGGGAAAAGTAGACATGAATTCAGAGAAAATCTAAAATTAGTGAACAGAGCTTTGATTTGTCTGTGGAAAGAACAGAATATCATGTGAAATGCTGAGAAACATTTTTTTAAAATAATACAGGTATACTCCTGATTTCCTAGCAACTGATGGTCAAAATTATGACTTAAAAAAAAAAAAAAAAAAAAAAAAAGTGGGGGCACACCATACACAGGTAATTTTTTTTTGAAGAGGTTAAAAATCATGTTTTTTCAATGACCAGTTGCATTGGAAACATAATTTTTTTCTGGATGGGTTAAAATTCATTCTTTTTTTTTTTTTGTGACCATAACCTACCATAAAATTAGGAGCATATACATAGGCTTTATGAGATTTGTAGGCTATAATCACTTAATTACATAAAGAGGAGTCGGAGTCAGAGGTGCCAAAAATAGAGGAGTTGGAGTCAATGGTTTTGCGTTCAGACTCCACAGCCCTGCAATAAACAGAAATTATTTTAAGGTTAGATTTTTTTTTTTTTTATACCGAATCCAAATATAAAATAACTTTATATGTAAAAGTACAGAATGACATACCAGAAAACAAAATTAGCCGAGTTTGGATTTCATCCGAGTTTTGGTGTTAGAAAAAAGGCATAAACATACCTTCCCATTCTTCTCATGCTCCACTCCTTGTCAGTTACGTCACTAGAAAGGTCACATTACTGGACTATCAGAAAAATTGGGTGAACAAGTAAGCAACTAAACAAACCACTCTCCCATAACTACCAACCTTAACAGGGTACAATTTATGTAATAAATTTATGTGTAATAAATTGAAAAGAAAAAGGACAGCAAAGAGACTTACTTGATATTCCCTGGGGTCCCTTCAGCACATGTAAATTGGGTGCAGGAAAAGAGTGACGGCACAAAAAGACAAACACTGGTCATAATAATCTGAAAATGACAAGAGATCAATTTTTTTCAATACATAAACTACAAATAAATTGATTTATTTTCTATTTTTATGGTTTTTAGAGCTAAAACATTGATTTTCAAAATTTTTTTTTTTAAGTGAATATTTCATTAACAATTTCTTAATGATTTTTGCAGATACAAGTTCTGTTTAACCCATAGCTGGGAGAGGAAATGGATTTATACCTTTCCCAAGGGAATTTGAATGAACCTGACTGAAATTTGAACTCAGTTCTCCGATTTCTCATTCTGAGCTGCAATTTATCACACTACCACACATCCAATAAACTACAAAGAAAGCGCAGTGGTTATGATAAGACGAAGTAAGATGTGAGAAAATTTAACATTCACATGACATAAACGGAATGAGTGAGGACAGAGAAACAACGTACTTCCCACTGTCTAGATTCCCAAACTTTTTATCCTCTGGGCCACATTTTCAGAATTAAAATTTGCTCACACCTCAAATTTTATGCAATAAGAAATACATTTAAAAATAAAGAAACAGAAAGGGTTAAAGGGAGGTAACCATAGATTTGAAGTAGGAACATTATCATTGATAACTCTCTCCTCCAATTTGCAGAGCCTCCTTAATATCTTCTTAATACTTGATATAATGCAAGAATATCACAATGACAAAATCAATCAATAATTATTTATAACTATTTATACTGAGACTCATGCATGCAATTACAAGTAATCCATAATAATATTTTAAATTTTGAAATCATATTTATTTTATGTATATGAATTTTTTGAAACAGTTTCTAAATCTTTTGTTTTTCAATCATTCTACCTCACCTGCTGTCCTCTTCCACTGCACCTATGAGGCACCTTGCACCATTTTAGGGACCACTGGTCAAGGGATACTTCATCATGTTTTTATTTAGTTACTGCTTCCCAGTTTTTTTCACAGAGACTTCACTACCTAGCCCAGGAACTGAACTCAGTTACAAAATTTATAAGCCCAAGCAGATCAAATTAAAATTAAATTTAGATTAAATAAGAGTAGAGGTTGAAATTCCTTGAAGGCTGCTTACATCAATTGACACTTGAAGAAGAATGTAGAGCACAATGGCTGAAATGTTGTGATAATAGCAACAAAAATGAAAATATTAGTCTGAAGTTAAATAAGGATAACTCCTCATCGCAGAAATTCAAAAAATTCTTTCATATCTTTCAAATCAAAATCTTTAAGAGTTACAAGAGGAGGAAAAATCTCAGATTTAAAGAACCATTTGAAGTGTCCTTTGTAACTTTAGAAAGCCTTGTGCCATCTTGTTGTTTGTAAATGCTTAATATTTTTTGTTGATTTTTGTTTCTGATGTTTTCACTTCTCCTTCTTTCTCTATCATCTTCTTTTCTCCATGGCTATTTAATTATCAAACTTTTTAATTCTACCCACCTCAACTTGTTTAATTAAGAATATGCTTATCAACTTTTTTAAGTTTTTAGACATCAGAACTTATACTAAGTCATTACTTAAAATGAATTCTTTCATATTTTTTTTTTTATTTGTTTACAGTTTAATAGAAGTAGATAGGCTCATCTATCATCTGGCCCACACCCCTTCCATGTCTGTTGAACAGGAGTAGAGGTTCATTCCTTGTTCAGGATATGGTTTAAAGATTCTCTCTGTCTTTCACCAGTGCCATAATGATTTAACTGTTAACTTTTTGGAGATCAGACTAACCACTGGATGTGACTTACCATTATGAGGGTACTGGGTTGGCAATTTGCTGACTGCAGCTTCCAACTGGTCATTAGGAGCCCAAACTCTTTGGTAGCATTAAGAGAGGCTGCTCTGATCAAGTCGCATAATATAGGGGTATCTGAAGTGCCATGTTGTGCATGGGTATGTATTTCCACTGGGCAACCTTGAGGCCACATTATGCTCTGTTCTCAGTCTCACCCTGGCTGGTTTGTGTTGCCATTGATGACAGATAGTGACAATTGTAATGGCCTTTGTTCTCTCTCCTTAAAATGAATCTCATGGAAAAGACAACAAAAAGAAATACAACTAAATCAGTAAACAAAAAATGCATCTAGCTCAACCTTACTTTTTCCAATATTCATGGTATCCGGTCCAACTTCTGCAGCATAGAATTATTTCATTTAGAAACTGCCTCCTGGAAGCACATCCTCAAAGAAGCTATCATCTGGAAGTCATCATCTGTTGTTCCAGTTTTTAAGAACTCTGGTGAACCATCTGACCCATCCAACTATTGGTATATTACCCTTCTGCCTCTTTTTGGGAAAACACCTAGAGGTCCTAATCAATGCTGAATTGGTTCATCATCTCTCATCACAACAGAGCCTTTTCTCAGACAAGCAACACAGCTTTTGTTTCTCCAGGTACTGCTGATAATTGCAGAGAGTCTAACATTCTCTAAATAAAAACAGTGAAGCCTGGGCTGTAGCTTTGGACATCTCAAAAGCATTTGATAGGGTTTGGCATTCAGGTCTTCTCCACAAGCTGCAAAGTTATAGTGTCTCCAGACATTCTTGAACTGGTCCAGTCTTTTCAATCAAAACTTGAAATGAAAGTTATACTGAATGGCCACTTGTACTAATGCGGATGTCTCTAGGGATCCATTTTTTGTCCTACTTTGTTTTTAATTAATGATCTTCTCGATGACATCAGCTCTCAACTTGGCATCTACACTGACAACACGACCATCTACTCCTGCCCCGATAGTAAGGCCGATCAGTCTGACAAGGTCAAAATGGCAGCTGATGTCTAAAACAACCACAAGTCTGCCATTAACTAGGGCAAAAAATAGCTTGTTAATTCTAATGCCTCCAAAATGAAACTTCACCTCCATTAATTATCTGAGAGACCCCTCTCTGCTTTCATCAGCATGGCTGATGCTAACCTTCAGAAAAGTAACTTCTCGGGCTAATGTTCTCACTGACATGAAATGGAAAGACTATATCGAATCCATTGCTAGGTCAGCTGCTAAGAAAGTCAGTTCACTTTGTCATCTGTGACAATTTTTCTTTCCAGAATCTATCTATAAATCTACCATTTGTCTAGGCTTAGAATATTGCGGCCATATATGCTATTTACCTAGAGCTCCTTGATAAGATCCATAAAAGAATCAGCAATATTATTGGTTCTGATCTGGCAGCTCAGCTTCAGTCACTTTCCCATTGCCATAAGGTTGCCTTTTCTATAAATAATTTCATGGTAATTGTTTGGATGAAATCTTTGTTATGGTACCTAGACTTTATGAATTTAAATGCAGTACTAGACAGACATTGAGATTTCATCAATTTACAGTTGAACTGGCCAGATATAGTTATATGTTCTATGCAAGCACTTCTTGCTTGTAGAACTCCCTTCTGGCTCCATACTTTCAAACCAACTTTAATCTGCAAAAATTTAAATGCAATGTCAATCACTATCTACTGTCCTCTTGATTATTCATTATTAATGTTTCTGTTCCTAATTCTTCTACATCTCTGTAACCCTTTGTGTTTTTAGTGGCTTTACTGTTTTGCATGGGGTGATGCCAATTAAAAAAAAAAAAAAAAAAAAACAAAAAACTGACCATCAAAAAAGCAGGTTCCAGACATTTCAAAACTTTTGCTGGCTGCTTTTTAATTTTGCTGAGGAGTCGTTTGCGGGTACGAGTCATCTTGAGAGAGAGAAATGTGAAGAGGGCACCCATGATGCCACCAACAGCACCAATTACCAGAGTAGGAATAAACATCAAAATGTTCACATTGATTCCATATGCAATCTGGGGGGAAAAAAAAAAATTTCTATTAAATTTAAATTCTATTTTTTTGAAGTTTAAGAACATGACAAACTGCATTCATATACTTGAGTATAGTGTGAATTTTTTTTTTTTTTTATGAGGATTTATTTGTTTTCATATTTCTTTCTCTCTGTAAATATTTACATCTTAGTGGCTGTATTGCTTTGCTTGGGGGTGAAAGGTTTAATAAAAATTAAAAAAAAAAAAGATTGCCATTATAATAAATTTAATGTACTAAAAAAAAAAAAAAAAAAAAAAAAAAAAAAACTGAAATATGAAAAAATAGCTATGAACTCATTAACATTAATTAAAAGTTATTATAGAACTTTACCTGGAGATCCTTGAAACATTTGCATGCCAGACGCACAATGTTTAATTTCAATTCATTTTCTTTAAAAAGGTACATATGTCTGTAATATTATATTAGTAATGTTTGGGCACCTTGACTTGGTGTAACGGTTAGAAAGCTTGTCTTGCTAAATCAATTACGACTGGGTAGTGAGTTCGATCCTTACTGGGTGCCTCATACTTTCAGTCTTGTGCCACATCTAAGCCGGGCTTAGAAAATCACTATAGGCACCTCGAGGTGGTGTAATGGTTAGCAAGCTTGTCTTGCTAGAACAATTACGACTGAGTAGTGAGTTCAATCCTCACTGGGTGCCCCTTACGTTCGGCCTTGTGCCACATCCAAGCTACGCTTGGAAAAAAAAAAAAAAAAAATATCGCTATTTGGGCACCTCAGTATGGTGTAATGGTTAGCAAGCTCATCTCACTAGATCAGTTACGACTGTAAAGCGAGTTCGATCCTCACTAGGTGCTCCATACTTTCGGCCTTGTGTCACATCTAAGCTCCTCTTAGAAAATAACTATATTAGTAATGTCTGATAAGATTCAGTCAGTTACGCGCCACGTGTGCTACATGCTTAGGCAATCGTGTATCTTTTGATACATGACTGACGAGGCAGATTTTTTCCTGCCATTTCTTTCAGCATTAGACCAATTGCCATCCAAGGCTATAGAACCTGATCTGTCCTGCTATTTGCCCATACCTGGGGGGAGAAGAAGAGGATTCATACCTTTCTCAAGGGTATTAGCACATAAGTGAATGTAATGGATCCGACTGGAATTTGAATTTGGCTCTCTGATTCCTGAATCCAAGCCACTATCCATTACTCGGCCATGTCTCCAAATAAGAATACAAGCAATTTTTCATATGTAATAAAAAAGTTTATTTACTTCTAAACTACAGTTTAATATCAGTTAATCAAGAATGTTATTTTATAATGATTGATTTATTTTCTATGGCTTATCAACCCTTTGCAGATTATTTAAAACCAGAAAATAATTTTAGATTGTAATTTTTTTTTGAGAGATAATGGTTTAGTGATACACGTCTTACTAATTAACTGAGGGAGATGTGGTGGATTCATACCTTTTCCAAATAAGTGTTATAGAAAACCCAACAGGAATTGGAACACTGCTCTCAAATTAACAATTCCAAGCCATTATCCATTACACCACCTGCACATCCAAGCTTACACCACCTGGAATTCCCAAACAGTCACTCATAGTTACTAATCATTTCTTAGCTTAGGTGATTGTACGGAAACCACTGCTTCATGTTGGTGCACCTGTAAGCCTGTTTTGTCACTGAAATACCAATTTCAGGGAGGGATGGAGAATGTTTCAACACCTACTCATATAAATTCAGAGAGTAAAGGTTTCGATATTTGCTTCCAGAAACTCCCCCACTGCATAGTAAAAGAAGGATCTAAGAGAATAAATACATAGAACTGGATTTGACAAAGAAGTTAACAGGCACTACACAAAAATAAATTTCCATGCAAATGTAATTATTTTTCACAAAGAAAAGAAAAAAAAAAAAAAAACAAGGTTTATCTTTGAGAAACTGACATACATCAAAAATTATTTTACTGGATTGGCATTAAAAGTGAAAAAATGAAAAAAATTTTTTAAAATCCATCACACCCAAAATCTTGATATTACAGAGTTATTTCCCTTGTACCACTTGATCGATGATGTGATATTTTGATTTGAATTATTGATTGAGTGGGGGGAGTTCAAATTAACCACTTCAAATCAGGCTAATGCGTGTTGAAGAGTATCATCAGCTGCTGCAAGACAATCATCGTTTTTATTGCTATGAATTATGAAAGTACGTCTACAAAGAAATTATTTGTTCGTTATTTTATTGGTGACAACAAGACAATCACAGTCCTCACTCCCATCTATGAATAGCATTGAATCACAATCCAATTCACTGCCTGAGTAAGAAGAACCAGGATAAAGATTCACTGCCTGAGTAAGAAGAACCAGGATAAAGATTCACGAGAGATATTATCTGCACCCCCTCATCAACAAGTCTTTGAGTGTGAAGAGTTAATATGTTACATTGAAAAACAAACAAGCGTTTCGTTTTTTTTGTTTTTTTTTTTTAAAAAAAAATTTTTAAAACATAAAATTTCACATCAGCTCACAAAAAGTACGATTGATGCAATCAGCGGAAAAGCCTAAAGATTAAGAAGTGTAGAAATTAGAAAGGCTGGTAGGTTATTTTTGGTATTTTTGTTAGGAGGCATCATTTTTGAGAGGGTAGGGCCTAAAAAGTTATGGGCCAGACTCACTTCAAAATCATCAGTATTCTGATGTTTTGGCCAGTGGGTCAAGCAGGAAAATGTTAAATGAAGTTTGTATATTTATGTTTTATAAATCAAAACTTATTTCTACAATAAATGCGATTAAATCTCTGCTAAAAATCAAGTTTGATTTGGTTTGTTTTATGGTACATCAACCTCAATGGGTTATTTAATGCCAACAAGATTTTTATTGATGGTAATATTTTTTTTCCAAAAATGTATTGCTGGTAATAATATATTTTACAAAGTATTTCTGGTATTAAAACCTATTTTTACACTTTCATAGTGTTTTGAGCCCAGTCTGGGAGTTAACTATTTGCCAATAGCTGGGACCCTAACAGGTTCTACCACCCTGAGTCAGAGTGGACCTGGGAACACCAGCAATTAAGAGGTGGTTCCACACTCCTCAAAGCTTCCTGATCAAAGGCCTTGCTGTTGGACATAGTTTATTGTCTCACCCAGGACGCAGATGTAGTTTAGAAAAATTAAGATTATTATTTTAAGTGTCCTTTTTGTTTCCATTTTCACTAAAATTTTCTCACATGTTAAGTCTCTGGTATTTTCAGCATCTTTCTCTATAACCACATTTTTGTTGCCTCAAATCTTTTCATCCATAAGGAGATTGTGCAGCACTAACTACCATACAGAAATACAAGTGTTACATAACAGTTAACTACTCTTGGCTTTGAAAAAAAAAAAATTCTTTTCCTCTTTCTCAACAATTTGATTAACTCGAAAGGCATCTTTAAGACCTAATAATAATAATAAAAAAAAAAGACAGTAAGTAATAATGAAGAAAAAAAAAGAGAAAAGAAAAAAAAAGAGAAAAGAAAAAAAGAGAGAAAAAAGAGAGAAAAAAAAAAAAAAGAAAAAAAAAAAAAAAAAAAAAAAGAAAAAAAAAAAAAAAAAAAAAAAAAAAAAGAAAGAAAGAAAAAAAAAAGAAAGAAAAGAAAAAAAAAAGAAAGAAAAAAAAAAAGAAAAAAAGAAAAAAAAAAAAAAAGAAAGAAAAGAAAAAAAGAAAGAAAAGAAAAAAAAGAAAGAAAAGAAAAAAAAGAAAGAAAAGAAAAAAAGAAAGAAAAGAAAAAAAAGAAAGAAAAGAAAAAAAAGAAAGAAAAGAAAAAGAAAAAAAAAGAAAATGAAAAAAAAAAGAGAAAGAAAAAAAAAAGAGAAAGAAAAAAAAAAAAAGAGAAAAGAAAAAAGAAAAAAAGAAAAAAAAAAAGAAAAAAAAAGAAAAGAAAAGAAAAAAGAGAAAGAAAAGAAAAAAGAGAAAGAAAAGAAAAAAGAGAAAGAAAAGAAAAAAGAAAGAAAAAAAAGAAAGAAAAGAAAAAAAGAAAAGAAAAAAAAGAGAAAGAAAAGAAAAAAAAGAGAAAAAAGAAAAAAAAAGAGAAAGAAAAGAAAAAAAAAGAAAGAAAAGAAAAAAAAAAAGAAAGAAAAAAAAAAAAGAGAAAGAAAAGAAAAAAAAAGAGAAAGAAAAGAAAAAAAAGAGAAAGAAAAGAAAAAAAAAAAGAAAAAAAGAAAAAGAAAAAAAAAAGAGAAAGAAAAAAAAAAAAAGAAAGAAAAAAAAAAAAAAAAAAGAGAAAAAAAAAAAAAAGAAAAGAAAAAAAAAAGAAAGAAAAGAAAAAAAAAAAAAAAAAAAAAAAAAAAAAAAAGAAAAAAAAAAAAAAGTCCTAATAAAACAAATGCTACCTCTTGCATCCATTATTATTACTTTTCTAATTATTTAACTTTTCTTGGGTGTGCAGCCAAAACAGGCAACACAATTTCTTAAGTTGGTGGAGCATTTGATAAAATATTGAAAAATAAATGAAACAACCTTAAGATATGAAGCCCCCGCAGAGATTTAACCAATTATTTGATCAGAGAGAGAATGAAACCAATGTGTTAGATTTTTGGTACATAGTAAAGCAGATAGGTTTAAAAAAAAACAAACAAAAACAAAACAAAATGGGGGATGGCTAGGGTTCTTGCCAATGATAGCAGACTCAACAGAAAGCGAGAACTCACACTGAACAGGATGTACCTTTCCTTCTTAAAGTAGCCAAAGTCTCCAGTATAGGAGAATCGGGTAAGGGCAGAATTGAAAAGGTCTGTAGTGAAAGTAGACACCATGCAACAAAAGAATATTTGCCAGGAGAGGGTGGTTGTCCAAAAGGAAGACACCTCCTCCATAGAAAAGAGCAAGCCCCCCACAGGCGCCCCAAATGCAGAAGCCACACCAGCAGCAGCACCAGCAGATATGAAATTACGTCTGTAAATAAAAATAACAAAATTTAAAAGGAATAGCAAAAACGGAATCTGTGTGTGCATGTTATGTGGGGGGGGGAGATGCTAACAACTCAAGGGAGACAATTCATTTTCCCCCCAATAACTTCAAAGTTTCTTGTATAGAATTTACAATGGAGAAATTTAACAAACAGAAGACATTAATTGACAGTAAAGTCGACTATGAATGACTATATTGTAAGATTTAAGTCCTAATATCAAAGTCAATTTACCTTTTAACATATTTCAACAGTCTTAACTATAAATGTGTAACAATCTAAAAAAAAATATAATAATGGTCCCAAGCACAAGAAATGTGATCCTGTAAATTTAGATAGGCGAAGAAGATGTAAGATGCTTCTATTAAGTAAAAAAAAAAAATAAATAAAAATAAAAAATAGAGGAGAAGGGAGTTCTCAAATTATGAAAAATCTATTGAAGGTCTAGGAACATACCCTCCTTCCCAGAGATAAAGGAAGGGGGTTACAGTATAAAAGGAAAATGGGATCATTTTATATTGATGATAATAAATATTGTTGATTTACTTTTAAAAATATGGTTATATGTGGTTTAATTATTGATAGAATGATTTAAATAAAAACTATATATTAAAAAAAAAAAAAAAAACAAAAAGATTAGAACAAGGAAAAAGAATTTAAGAAGTTAAAAACATGCGGTTAACACACTCACAAGAGATTAAAATAGAAAATGCAGAAAAAAACAAAAAACAAAAAAAAACAGAAATACAAGAACAACAAGCACACATACACTTCTATGTGTCACATCTCTTCAGGACACAAGTAATCATGTCTTTCCACAACTTTATCTCTTGTGGCTCTGAACAATTTTTCTCCCTTTGTTAAAGAAACAACCAACTCCTCATTCTACCATTTATCCATACAAGCTCATGAGATAAGTGGTTCACTGACTTCCCCTATCTCTCTTGCCCTCAATATGTATCGTTAAGTTTTTCAAGCCATCCTTCCTAATTATATGTCCAAAGAATTCCAGAAATCTCAATTCTGAGAATAGATGTTCTTTCTGTTACCATTTTAAGACTTCCTTGTTGCTTACTCACTGTCCTGTGAGTGTTACATTCTCCAAGCCCTCCTTCCTCTTTATATGTCCAAGGAATTTCAGCTGCCTTTTCCTGATTTTGAGTATAAGTGTTCTTTCTGTTACCATTTTCTTTAAGACTGCCTTGTTAACTCCTTTCTACAGAATTTTCAGTATCCTCCTGTAGAGCCATATTTCTGCTGCCTCTAGTTTTTTTCTTTTTTTTTTTTCTTCTTAGGAAAATTATCCAACATTCATTGCTATATAAGAGGATGGAAAAAAACAATACACAAACACTCGGGGAGTGGGGGGACAAAATAAAAACAGCAAGGTTGGTGGGGGGGGTCAATATACACACAAAAGACAGGAATTAATAGGAATGAAAAAGAAAAAGAAAAAAAAAAAAAAAACTTACTTATCTTCTGAATTGTGAAATTGTTGACACAGTTTGATTCTAAGTTGACTCAAGGAAGCTCCTACCAAAGCCCTGCACAAACAAACAAACAAACTAGCAAAAATATTTATCAACAACAAAAAAAAATGTCATACAATGTAACCCGGATATAAGAGAGTTGTCGGGACCGGAGAAGAAGTCTCTTATATCCGAGTTTGGTCTATTTTATATACGTTAACACAGGCTCTAATTTGGGACCAGAGAAAATCTCTTATATCCGGGTTTCTCTTATATCCGGGTTACACTGTATATTGAATGAAGCAAAATAAATTAGGTGGCTGAAAATTTCACAGCCAGATACACTTTCTTAAAAAATGAGCAGACACAAGAATCTATTTTGGAACTCTTCTTAGTCAATCCAACGGGACATGCAGGCACATACGTTAAACTATTGTAAATTTCTGATAATTTCCAACTTTCCATAAGTGAATGTCTCACATTCCATTTTTTACTGAAGAAATGTTGGCCAAATAGTCTCCATACCTACACCTACTGTAGGAAGGGTTGTGAATGGAAGATCCAAGACAAACTCCCCAAAACCACCTTGTAAAAGCTTTGTCAACTCAGAGTTTCTAAAAACAGAAAAATACCTATATTGAAAATTTATGACAGTTACGTGCCATGTGTGATACTTAGGCGATTAAGTATCTTTTGATACATGACTGACGAGGCAGATTTTTTTCCCGCAGTAGGTTGCCATTTCTTTCTACAGTATACCAGTTGCCATCCAAGGCTATAGAACCCAGTCTGTTCTGCTGTTTATCAATAGCTGTAGGGAAAAGAAGAGGATTCATACCTTTCCCAAGGATATTAGCACAGTGAATATAATGCATTTGACTGGAATTCAAACTCTGCTCTCTGATTCCTCAATCAGAGCTGCCATCCATTACTCCGACACAATGTTCATTTTAATTCCTGTACATTTTTTATATTTCATATTGCATAACTGAGCTTGAATAATTGTTAGTACTGCCCACGTGTCCCAATATGTGAGAGATGTGTCACCTTAGATGGGCAATGCCAAGTAAAGACCTACCTCAGGCTTGGTAGCAGAAATGTACCTTAAGCTTAGCTTAAAAAAAAAAAAAAAAATTCCAGCAAACTATTTAAAATAGACAAAAAATTAAAAATCAACAAAAACCTGTGTAAATCATGTGAAAGATAAAGTTAGGACCAAAAATCATTTCACCCCAAACAAGGTGATAATGTTACTAAGATAAAAGGGGGTACTGGGAGTGGAAGACAAGGAGAAGACTTTAGTGGGGAAAAAGGATAAACTCACTATCCAAGCTTACTAACCATTACACCACATTTAGATGCTGATGGAGGGAAAAAATGGATCTCTATAAGGATTAAAAGGATAGCAGTTTTGATCTGAAGACAATAAAATTTACAAGCCATTTCTTGCCTCCAGTTAACAACTGGATGGAGGTCATTTAGAAACAAGGTTTAAAAACGGGCAATTCTTAACTTTGAATCATATATACTCACCAATGGAAAACAGTACATACTCACCCCAAATGTATCATAGGACCTTCAGGCCCGACAGGCATGTTGCAACCTACAGCACAAACACAAGACACGAACTTGACAATCATGGTTTTGAAGCTGAACACCTTAGGAATCAGAGTCCCGTTAAGAAAGCCAGTGACTTCAGGAATACCAGAACCACCTGCGCTTGGGCACAAAAACTGGTAAAAAGTTGAGAGAAAGCAAAAAATAAATATAAATAAAAAAATGTTTTTAAAAAATGAGATATATTAGATATGATTTTATGTTTATCAGTCATGCAGCTTGAATTCTCAGTAATGAGATATTCTATTGTCATATTAACAGGAGGCATTACTCTATACCAATGGTTCTCAACTGGGGTCCACATAACTTGATTGGGGGGTACACGGTAATATCACAGTGATCCATAGAGCAATTTCATTTCAGAATGGTTGTTACAACTGTGAACTGAAATTTCTACAGTAATCCCAAAATAGAAAAACAACTCTAAAACTAGCAGAAAATGAGATCAAGAGATGCAAGTTATAGCGCCCCTTTTACTCTACCAGATCTTTTGATTGTAAAAGTTGAAAACTGAAGATATATAAAGGAAGGATTTCATATATATATATATATATATATATATATATATATATATATAAAAAAGGAAAATTATATAAAGATTATCATTTATTATATAAATTAATGTAATATAGTAATAATAATATTAATGAAATAAAATATTAATATAATATAAATTAATATAGTAATAGACTCAACATTGTTAAAAGGGGGTGATCTTCAACTATCATCGACATCGATGGAGCCAAATATAAAAAAAATTGCAATCAACCACAGCCAAGTGACCTTAAAGCTGCAGTAGCAGCTCTAAAATAAAACTTAGCAGTAGCTCAAATATAAAAAAAAAAAAAAAAAAAAAAAACATGTGAACCCTAATGTAACTTCCTTTTCAGGTTTTCCCTCTTTTGAACTGCCGACATGAACTTTTCATGCTAAAGCTAAAAGGGCTGTGAATGCTTCACACTAAAACACACAACAAAGTTCCCAAGTTTTAATGTTATCTTTGCATTTCAAATCAGTTGACCTGTTATTTTGTCCATGTACTCTTTACACCACCATTATTCCATGTGCTATAAAATGTTCCCATAAGAAGCTTTACACATCTAATTCTTGAAATAGTTAATCACTAAATAGGGATCTCATTGAATACATCTGTACATTTTTAATTTATTAATTACCATATTTGACAGCATATAAAGTGCACTTTTTTTTTTTTACTAAAAATATTTTTTAAAATTCCCGTGTCTTATATGCCATATGTAGGTTTAAAATTCACAATAGTCGGCCAAAATTAGCTACCTGGCAACTCCTATTAGCTTAGACTTAACTTTCATATACCCATTGTCATTATTTAAAAGGCTATTATGTAGATTAAAAGTGTTATCATTGATAATATTCATTATATTAATTTCATACATTTAATATTAGTACTTTGTTTCACTAAAATTATATGCAATGAATTCAAATTATATATTTGTAAAATATATTTGTTTCATTAATATTTTTCTTGTGATAAATCCCGGTTGCATTGGTATCAATACAGTCAGAATTTTTATATCCTATTTATTCCACGAAGACATTTACAAGATGCAGGTTGTACAGATCATATAATGGAAAATTTTTGACTAAATTTTAATGGTAACTGTATTGTTTTGTTCAATTGTAATAATTGCTTGATTTTTATTTTGTTTTTTACCTTTGGATATAATAAAGGTTTTACAGGATCATGTTCTTTTTTTCCTATTATTTTTCGTTTAATTGTAATCATGGTGTATTTAACCAAAATAATACCTCATAAATACAGCCTAGGCTGTACCATTTACTAATAATTTTACTAATTACTAATTTTTTTTGATTTACCCTGTTGAAATTTGGGTGTGTCTTATACACCCGTGCGTCTTATATGCCGTCAAATACAGTACTCACATTTTTTTAAAATGGTTTATTAGGAGTTATTTTACTAGTGTGCATAAATGTTCAATAGAATTTAGTTATTAAATACAAGTTTATTTTCATTTAATTACTTTTACTTCAAAATAAAGCATATACATTTCTATAATACAATTCCTAAACTTATCTTTTAGTAAAAAATAAAATAAGCTCCCCACCCCAATTGAATGGTTATGGAGGTCTACCAAAATATAAATTAAGAGTAAAAGTGGTCCATAGGTAAAAACAGGTTGGGAACCATGGCTTTATACTAATAAGCAAACATAGCTTGACTTATTACAGAATATAACATCAACAGAAGAGATCAGACTACTAAAATAATGCTTTTTATTTCTTTTGTGTTTGATATTTTAGTAATTCATAAAGCAGAAATGCTAGATTAGTATTCCTTCATGTGCTGTGACACTTCAAAATGTGAACGGCCACAGCTCTCCACAACTTCCTATCCTATAAACAAAGTTTGCCTCTTACTATCCCACCATGCATTTACACAAGTTTAAGTAGATTACTTGATGGTTTCCTCTATCACTCTTATCTTCAATAGGTCCTGTGAAGGTCTAATTCTCCAAGCCCTCTTTCCTCATTAGGTTCTTATTTGAAGCATAAGTGTTTTTTTTTTTTTATTCCCATTTACCTTAAAACTGTCATTGCTCACATGTTCACTTTATGGTATTCTCAGCATTCTTATGTAGAGCATTTGGCATGTTTCATTATTCCAATGTACCTTCAAATTTCCTGTCATATTACTTTCCCCAGATATTTGCATCTTAGGCATACCCTATTCTTTTTTAATGTACTATATTTCTTCAAGACGTTGTCAATCATACCTTTTCACAATTTCCTGTTCTTTGTAGCTCTTAGTAAATTTTCTCTTTTCACTATCTCTCCTAAATCCTGTTCTGCCAAACTGTTTACATAGGCTCATTAGGTAGGTTATGTACAGTTTTCCACTTATCTTTTATAGATCATGTGAGTGTTAAATTTTCCAAGCCCTATCCATTATGTTCCCTAGAAATTTCAACTACAGTGTAACCCGGATATAAGAGAGTTGTCAGGACCGGGTTTCTCTATTTTATATACATTAACACAGGCTCTAATTTGGAACCAGAGAAAATCTCTCTTATATCCGGGTTACACTGTATATTATTCTGATGTTAAGTATAAGTGTCCTTCCCCCCCCCTATTTTCTCTAAATTCTTTCTATGTTCAGTCTATGTTAGCTCAAGTTTCCTCTCCATCTGTGATGAGATTGTCCAGCATTTACTGGACTCACATTTCAGTACTCTTTTCTTTGTTTCTAAGGAAAGTTTTCAGTTTTGTTTAGCACCTGACATTATTATTATTAGAATCTACCTTGACATTTTTCATTTTTTTGTCATTGCACTTCTGCTGCATTCAGCATCATCACTGAATTCAGCCTCTCAAGCAACGTCAGTTCATAGACCGTATCAAGGAAAGATGGGTTCTTCTTCTTACTTGTTTTTATTATACAAGGGAAACAGATATGGTAACAGATTCTAGCAGGCAGCAAAAGAAAGAACTTCAGGTGAATGCATGCCCACTCATTGGCTTAGCATCCTGCCACACGTAGTATTAGCCTGTGTAAAAAGTGTGCCAATGCTTCAGAATTCTTGTTGCTCTCTGCAAACTTTGTACCATTTTGGCTTTATATCCAAAACTTAGACAAGCCATCACTTAAAATTCCACACTTACAAGGTATTCATGACCAATTGCTCACCATTCAAGCACAGTTTCTCAGATATTTCTATGTTTGGTCATCCAAAGATTACTCAAATATTGTCCTAATTCCCCTCCCCCACACACACACACAAACTCATTTAGGAAGTATACTTATCTTGGTAAGCTTCTTTGTTGTATTTAAAAACTAAAATATTTGTTGTGACAAATTGTCTATTTAAATATTTGCTTTTATTTAATGAGGAATTCAAATCTTTTGTGATATATTTTCTTTTTAATCTATTTTACACTTGAGACCTTCCCCCTAAATTTAGGTTGGTTGGTTGGTTGGGTTTTATGGCATATCAACCACTGTAGGTCATTTAATGCCAAATTTAGTTTTTTATATATATATATATATATATATATATATATAGTACTATATATATAAACTATTATAGCTAGCAACAACATTATTTTTTCAGAAACGTTATCAGAGGCCTTGCTGTTGGACATAGTTTATCGCCATACCCAGGATGCAGATGTAGTTTATCGCCATACCCAGGACATGGGTAAGGTCTGGAAAAAACTGGGAGTTCACTATTTGCCTATAGCTGGGACCCTAACAGGTGATACCACCCCGGGTTAGAGTGGACCTGGGAACACCAGCAATTAAGAGGTGGTTCCACGCTACTCAATACCTCCTGATCAGAGGCCTTGCTGTTGCATGCTGTTTAATGTCATACCCAGGACGACCCCTAAATTTAGACTAGTTTCCAAACCAAAAGATTCTTCTCTAACAGTTTTTTTTTTTTTTTTTATAATTGTGTGAAAAGATAACTGCTTTGTGAACAGTTGCACATGGCTGGCTAAAATTCAATTCATATTTTTACAACTCTGAATTAACAGTCACAATAATTCTACATGTTTTATGCAAAGAAAAAAACTTGTCTATTTATTGGCCCCTGGGACGCTGTTGCCATAATGGTTACTAGCAAGTAAAATGGGATCAGAGAGCTAAGTTCAAATTCCATCCAAAGATGCTTACATTTACTTTGCATTGGTGTCACTGGGAAAGGGTATTAATCTATCTTTCCCCTTCAGAGAGAAATAGTAAGGCAAACTAGGCTCTTTAGCCTTGGTAGTGCAATAAAGGATAAGTGAATTCAAAAACAGCCCAAAAAAGGATGGGCTCCAAGCTATCTTGCTCAAGACGCACCTGTTGTTGCAGATGCAGTACATGAGACACTTCAACAATCCGATAATGGATTACAGGACCTAAACACTTGCAGGATTTGTAAAAAACATTAAAATCTGAATTAGATTCAAATTATAGAGTACACATTAGAACATATTCCATTAATTAGTTTCAAACAATAAAAACTGTTTTTGATTGAAA